ACGTTAAAGGCACAGTTGTAAAATGGCTCATGTTACCACACTTTCAATAAATGGTTAATTCCTACAGCCTGCTGAAGTCCAACAGGTTAATGGGTTGCTTGTAGCTATCTATAATGTGGACTACTTATGCCCACAACTTCTATTAATCATTTATTAACCCCATAAATCAAGTATAAATGTACCCGTAATACAAAGAGTGACCCATATTCTAACAGATGTGATCTTAAAATATTTTTTTGACAGTCCAATCAGCACAAATGTGTCCTTGGATCAAAGGTGACAGTGGTTTTTTACAAGCAGGCATTAACTGCCCTTTGGAAACTGTTGAATATACAAGTCTACTTTTCCTCAGAGAGTAGAGGGAAGAAATACCCTTAGTTAAGCCAGACATAAAGTACAGAACTGGCACTGATGTAACAAAATCCCTCAGCCAGTCCACAACACCCATTCCTACTATTTCATGTGTGTCTACTTTGTGCATCAGTTCCGTTAGGAGCCTTCCCAGCCCACTGGTTAGGGGCCTGCCAGAGACGAGGAGGGATTTTTTAATTAGAAAATATACTTGGATGTAGCTCCATCATGGCATGTACCTTTAATTGTTTGGGAAATTTGCATCTTTATTGGATGCTGTTAAACCCAAGACTAGTAAAACGTGGCCTCTGTTCACCAAAACAAACCTTCCATCCCGCGTACAGAGAGCCAGCACACGGCTTACCTGTTATTTAGATTCCACTGCAGCTTTGGGTTTTGCCTCATACATTCTGAAGTTTCTGCCAAGGGGACGGGGTGTTGAAAAGATACTTAGGCTTAGTGGGAGTCGCACGTTCAGTTTCTTGCGCTGTCGGAGTCTCCCTGTGTGATCAGCACAAGTCTAAAACTTGTGCCCTGCTCGTGGGACTAGGTTGTCTCAGAAAACAAGTCAGTGTTTCTCTCGTTAGCTTGGCTGCTGGCAGTAAGATCCCTTACACATGAGGCTCTGTGGGCCATGAGGATCCAGTCACACTGGCAGCCACCGGTTTGGAACTGCTCTCCATTTCCCAAACCCAGATCTCCAGTGTTTTTTAGGTGCTGTCTGTCACGGAAGCGAATAGATTCTTCCTATGCCTGTAGGTAAAAGCGGTGCAGAGATGGAAGAGTGCTCCCCAAAACTGCTGGGATGTTGGAGGGAGGATGCACTGTAAACAATCTGCTATTCACCAACCTGGGAATGGGCATCAAAGCAGCACGTAGAATCATAGAATCACTTAGATTGAGTGCAACCATAAACCTAAGGCTGTGGGACAGGGTGTCAAAGGGTTTACTGGAGTCCAGGTAGACAACACCCACAGCCTTGCCCTCACCCACTCAGTGGGTCACCTTGTCACAGAAGGAGATCAGGTCAGTCAAGCAAGACCTGCCTTTCATACACCCGTGTTTAAACTGGGCCTGACTGCCTAGAAAATGAGAGCTGGTCGCTATTGCATTCGCTTCGACTTAGAGAGTGCGAGCAGCAAGCTGCACAGACAGGAATATTAACAAAAATTACCTTTTTTACTCTAACAAACAACATCAGATTATATTCACACAGGAGCCCTAACTCCAAAGCTGTCTGTGCTCAGGGAGCAGAAGCATCTCAAGCGGTTTTCTATGTCCAGGTATTCTCCCTCTTTCCAAAGCTGGGGTTACTAACTTGTTGCAATAAACTACTTGACTCTCCTAAAAAGACTCTTAAGATGATTAAACAAAAAAATCAAGGAGACCAGGTCGTTTCAGAGACTCAGGAAAGCAGTTGTCCTTCCCTCTTGGTGTCAGGGAGGTGGTGTTTGCTTGCCTCAGGGGTTCTTTGACATTTAGACCCATTAGTGGTTCGGTGCTTGTCTCTGACAGCAAGGCCGTGATTTAGGGCTGTTAATAGGAGGCCATTCCCCAGCACCAAGATTAGGCAAATCATCCTCAAAAAGAGATCTTGCTCCTTCTTTTTAAGGGAACTTGCTAGAGGAATAGCAATGCCAAATTTGTAGTGACCACAGATCCTCTCCCCAGGACAATCTCTATTCCAGCAGGTGTTCGAGGCTTGGTTTTGCCTCCAGCTTGACCTGCAGAGTGGTGGTAAGGCCTAGGAAGGGTGGTACGTTTTCTCCCATGCTCTGACTTTGGTCTTTGAGTATTAGCAGCATCTCTGATAACTGCTGAGAAGTGTAACTCAAATCTCTCCTGTTCTGTGTAACCTGTCACCACAGTCAACCCCAAAGCATCATTGTTTTCCAAATAAATGGGAGAAGGAAAAGACTCACTTTTTCTGAGGCCTGTATTTCCTTTGATGCTAACCCCCTAAATAAGCATGATGGTATCTCCTTAGCTCCCTAATAATTATATGTGCCATCTGCATGGCTCGCCTCATCCCCCCTCCCAGCAGAAGAGCCCTGTCTGTCCCCTCGTGCAGAGGGACCATTAGGGTGTCGTTTTTGAGAGGCTGAGGTGTTGTTTTTGAGAGGCTGATGGCAAGAAATGGCAGGATCTTCCCCTTCCACTGGGTGAGTTGTGCAAGATGGGATTGTAAATATGGTAGATGAGCCTTCCTAGTGGAAATTATTTACTGGTTAATGTCCCCTTTTCAGTAGTTTCATCCAAGAGGACTCTTTAATAGTGCCTAAATATATAGGAATTTCTGTACTGCGAGGAAAGCACATTTATTTCATGTGGGCTACCACCAGCTCTGGGGTTCTATGAAGGCTCAAGTGGCAGTTGGAAGGGGTATTTTATAGCTCCTCTGTTTTGAAGGGGTATTTTATAGCTCCTAACAAACCTTGCAGAGGCTTCTTTTTTTTCAAAACCACGTTAGCCAAAAATGGAATAATGAAATCCACCCTGGGAAAAAAAGGTAATTGCTAGATCTGTTCCAGGGCTAGGAATTGGGTCTAAAGTACCGCTAAAAGTCTCATAAAAGAAGGTCAGCTTCAATGAAGTCCTGATCCAGGCCCTCTCCTAGCACCTACAGTCTTTTCTCAGCAACGGACGTGTGCTCAAACTTCTGTCTGAATTCTTAAAGCTTCTGAAGAGCAAACAATGGGCTCAGCATGGTTTCAGTCAATACAGACAGTATGGTAGCATGAAATTTCCTGTCCAGAACAGTCAGTGGTTCGGATTCTGGCCTGTCTGACTGATGTAAATGTATTGATACTGCTGGAGCTTGTCTAGATTTCAATCACTTCACCAAGAGCACAAGTCAGGTCAAGCAGGACTGCTGTATGTTAATGAGATGTACACTCAGAGCTGCCTTTGTTTAGAGAGAGGTTTTAACAGTCCCGAGGCACCAGGCTGCAATGGCTCTCAGAGGTATTGTGGAAACCTTTACACGTTAACTAACTTGTTCTTCTCAGCATCTGCCTTTCACTTTAAATATGATTAAAAAAATAAAATACTGCTTCCTGGAAATTGGTTAGGCATTGTCTATTCACAGGAGAACCATGGGAAAATGGAAACTACCTTCTGGAGCAAGCAGATAAATTAAACAGTAGTTTTTGAGCAAATAATGTGCCTCCAGTTTAATTACAGCTGAACAATGGTGCGAATCACTCGATTTCAGCAGCGGACTGACTTGACTGAGGGCTCTGTGTTTTTAAAACACACTGTTTGCACGTTCTTCAGGTGACAGGCTGGTACAGGGGAGTGTGAACGTGCCATGCGCAGCCCAACATGAAATGGGATTATGAGGAACTATTGCACAGAAGAATTAGGAAAACAGCCACTTGGCAGCCCATTATAATTATGTAGCTTCACTCCACCCTCTCCTTTTCTTATTCTGTCTTCTCTTTTCTGCACAGGATCTTGCCAATGCCTTTCTGAGAGAAAGAAAGCAAAACATGGCTTTTATCTTACCTCTCCAATTTCCATTTTTCAGGGACTTTCTTCTAACCCTCAACTCTTTTCAGTGACCCCCCCATTATCCAATTTCCTGACCTCTCCATTCCTTTTCCCCTGACTATTCCCCTTGTATAAAGATGCCGTAGCCTCACTTACCATTAGGTAAATGAAATATAACCATCCTGCTTTTTCTGCTAGGATCATTCCTCCCTTCAGCTCCAAGCTCACTGAATCCACCACCTGTTAAATTGCCCGGAGTCACTCCCTCACTCCAGCACAGGCTCCCTCCAGGTTTGACTTCACCTTTTGACATTCC